CCAAGGAGGTTAATTAACCAGTGTGAGTAAAAAAAAACAGGTTTTCTTTTGGGGTAGCGCCTGGATGTGCAGCTCAGCCGTGCCCAGCCTGCAGGGGGAGATGCTCCAGCAATCTCCAGCTGCTCTCTGGGCATCAGCTGTCTGGAATTCCAGTCCTGCAGTGATGCTAATCCTCCAAAAGCCAGCCCAGAGAGATGTGGTGGCAGCTTTTGGGCACTGTTCATTGTCCAGGACTCCTGTCTGGTCAGGAGGGTGTTGGGTGCTCTTACTTCCCCCCTGGCAGAGGAGGAGGTGCCCAGGGCTGTGGAGGTTGCTTCTGTTGTCAGCAAGGCACTTTGGTGACAGCTAAGGCTGGGAGAAGGTTTAGTCATAGCCAAATTTGTAAAGCCATGAGTAATCATGTCAGGGCTGCTTGTGCCCCTGCTCAAGATCCGAAAGCTGCATTTTAGCTTGATGGCAAATTCATCTGGAATGGTCAGTTTTGACTTGGAGTCCAGCAGATCATTTTTGGACAGACAATCAGGTGAGAAGTGGCAGCTCAGAAAAAAATGAAATCTTGTGACCAAAATGCCAGTGGTGCCCACATTATCAAGCAAATTCCAGCTTTCTCTTCTAGGAGGAGATGTGCCTGTTGATTCCCATCAGTATCATCGTTCCCATGGGGACATTTACCAGTGGAATTGCAAGAGCTAACTTGCATTTCCTACCTGGAGCAAGCAATGCCAGCGAGTTGCTGCTAGGGAAGGACCTAGGAAGTGGCACTTCATGCTGACTGCAGCATAGAAAAATGCTATTTGTTTGTTTGTTTGTTTGTTTATCTATTATTTTAAATTTGTTTTTATATTGCAGCATAATCCAGTTTTCTGCCATTTGAGCTAAGAAATTGAGAGAAGAATGACTGGGGAGGAAGAGAGGTATGTGTGAGCAGTATATGGGAAAATGTTCTGTGGAAAACCTGGGATGTTGGATAAATGGTTGTGTTTATACTTGGTCTTCCCTCTCTCACCTCTCTTTTGGGTTTGGCTTTGTTTTGGGTTTGGTAGTTTGTTTTCTTTCATTCTGCAGCCTGTGAGTGCATCCAGAACCCCTGAGGATTTCTATCAGGTAGCACAGAGCTTTTTCCAGAAGACCACAGCAGGGTCTGTGCATGTATTTTTTATATCACTCAATAGTTATGACATCCCTTGCAGGCTGATTTTAAACCTCTTTTCAGTTAGGCCATATAATATTTGACCTCATTTCTGTGGAATAGATGCATCACTGAAAAACAGGAGCTAGAAGGATCCTGCATGGAAGACGGTTACAAGTGAAGAAAATTTGGTTTTTTAAGAAGACTAAGAAAGACAATTCAGAAGAGTTGGACTGTTAAGGCTCTCAAGCAAAAATACTCTGTAAATTCTTTGGATTTTTTTTATGAAGAAAGTCTTTTGACACTAAAGACTGGAAGTCAGTTTATAGCAGCTTTTTCTGCACTGTCTAAGTGCATGTGGCATGAATAAAAACCCACAGTGTGAGGTGCTATGTAAATACAGAAAAGAAAAAAAAATACATTTGTCCATGCTACAGAAATCACCCATCTGTACCACACAGGGTCTCAGCTGCAGCTCAGTTTGCTGGGCACTGGTGCCATGTGCTAAGGCCACAGGTGGTGACAGTCATGTGTCACTTTTGTGCATGAAGGACCCAAAAATGTATCAGCTGTGCAGCTGCATCATCCCTTATGTTCTCATGAGCACTGCATATGGCAAGGTTTCTGAAAGGATTTTGGTTCTGTTAGTGAAACAGGATAGATGGTGGCCTTTAGGGGCAATTGTCTTTCTCCAGACCCATCCTCTTAGCACCTCCTGAATGAAAGAGATGAGTTTGTTCATGAAATGGCCTGCAGTATTTTAATGCCATGCAAACTAATTGGCATGTAAGAATGAAGATAATCCCCACTAGCACACCTAATTAGAAGAGCAATCCTCATTTTCCTCCTGCAATCTCCTCTCAGTTTAGAAGGAGCTCAGGCACAGAAATGTGCTTGTCATCCTTTGAAGTTCCAGCTTCTAGCATGAGCCAAATGTGTAATTTTTTAAAGCATTTGTATTTGAGAGAATCCCACAGGATAAATACTGGTTATTCATAGAGCAATAGATTGTCACAACATTGTGAGGCATGGATGTCACTGCAATCGGAGTACTGACACATCTGAGAAAGGAGGCTGGGGTGTGCCACTCACAGCTGATCAAATGAAATGTGCCTTTGCCTGCAGTAATCCTGATTTAGTGCAGTCACAGCTCTCCTGATCTGCAGAGAAACACACCACAGCTGATACCTGGCTGTAAAAGGCCATGTGAATTGACACTGCTTTGAAAACAGAGGCTGACTTCATTAACTGTGGGCAAGATGCTTGGATGCTCTGGTTTTGCAGTGCTGACAGAAAAGTCTGTGGGATCCTGTTTTGGAATCCTACCCTGAAGACAAAGTTGGATATACTCCAGCCAGTTATGTCCCTACTCCTGTCAGAGGCCTCCTACATTTGCAAATCTTTGTAACCTCGAACCTGATCAAATCTGAAGGTGTGAAGATGCTCCCATGCAGACTCTGATGTAACTGATGGCAAAACATGCTATTTATATGCCTGCAGAAGCAGAGAACACATAAAAGGCAAATGTTTCACTTCAAATTCTTTCTCATGAGCAGCTGAAGAGGTTGAGGCCAGGCTGAATCCCACAGACAGGGGAGGATATGGGGGCCTTGGAGCCAGGGAAATTTGTCAGTCTTTAGAAACAGGCTATTGACTTCCCAAAGCCAAGACTGGAGATTCCCAAAGAAGCACCTGCCTGTGGAGATGGGGCTGGCATAGGCAGTACAGAACAACATGCAGGAGGGAGACTGGGAGATGTTGCAGGCGGTTTGTCTTCCATGGTGGCCAGGTGACTGGCTTCTGTTACTTTGCAGAAATGCTAAACTGAATGCAAGGTGAACAAGGTGTCTGGCTTGGCCTCCTGGTTGTCTCCTCTAGGCTGTCTCCTGAAGCAGGCTTCAAATGGAGCTGGAATTCCTGCTTCCTGCTGGTGAGTTGGATTGGAGTGCTGTGCTTGTGTCCTGTTTTCTGTCTTTAAAGGCTGTGTAGCTGTAGCAGCCTGACATTGTCAATGGACAGCAGAATGGCACATGGAATGATAACAGAGGGAACTGCCAGCTCGGTGTATAGATCCATTGTCCTCCAGGAACACTGGCAGTTAGAGGGCCATCTGCTCAGCTCTGAAGACAAACAAAAAAGAAAACTGTAAATACACTTAAAATTGGAGATGGCCCTCTGAGGGTTAATGAAAACCAAAAGGAGTTCTGGTCTTTGCCTGGCTCGGAAGGGAACTGGGTGGAACATTCAGACTTCCTTGTTTTAACTTGTCATTTAAGCTTTTTATTCCACTACGGACTAATTGGGACAGCAGAGGCTGTTAAAGGAAAGGATATAAAACTTGATCTCTGTATGTTTCCTCTGGCTCCCCAGAGCATCATCACAGTAAATAAGAGGTTTGCCTGAGAGAGGGATGCTGAGAGCAGTGATTTCCCTGGTGGAACTCTTGGGGAATACTGCGTGCCATTCCCTCCCCAGTGCCATAAGTACTGGGATTACTTCCCAGTTGTTCTCGGGGTTTGGCTGTACTGGATAGGGGGTGGGGGGAGGCTGTGAGAGAGGGAGCAATAGGAGAGGGGAAGGGACAGAAACCTTGCAGGAGGAAAAGGCTGCAGCAGCACCTGAAGAGGCTTTGATCGGAAAAGGGTGTGGAAGCGCGGCGGTGATTTCTTGTGGAAGCTGTTTCAGAGGGATGGGTTACCGCACCTCCTCCCTTCGGCAGAGGCTCGGCATCCCCTTTCTGGTGGGAAAGACCTAAGGATGCTACGGCATCCTCTGGGCCGGAGAAAGAGGCAGGGAAGCCGCGCTTTCCCCCTTTTCTGAGGCACGGCGGGGCGGGGGGATGTACAGGGGTCTTGGAAGTATTAGTCGGGGACGGGAAAGGCGGCTGCGGTAGGTGCCGAGGAAGGGGAAACGAGCTCGGCTCGCCCAGCCTGTGAGGGGAAAGTTGCCCTGCTCGGGAGGGGAGGGGGCGGCCGGGGCCGAGCGGGTCCCGGGCCGCGGGGGGAGCGGGAGCGAGGCCGGCACCGCCCCCGGGGGCTCGCAGTGACGCAGCTCCCGGCGGGGCCCCCGCCCGCTCCTCCGCCCCCGCTCCCCTTTAAACCGCGCCGGAGCCGCCGAGCGCAGCCCAGCCCAGCCGAGCATGGGGCCGCCGGCGCTGCTCGCCCTCCTGGCGGCCGCCGCCCTGGCAGGTGAGCGGGGCCGAGGGCACATCCCGCAGGGAGAGCGCTGGGAAAGGCGGGGAACGGCCCGGGAACAGCCCCGGCGGGCGCGGGGAGCGGTGGAGGGATGGACGGGCTCGCTCCGGGGAGGCGGCGGTGGGTGCGGGACCCGCAGCCCGGGGTCGCCCCTCGGGAAGGGGCGGTGGGGCCGGGGCGTGGGGATGGCGCTGGGCGAGAGCTCCCCGGCTGCTCCGCCTGTATTTTTATCCCAGTGCAGCGTCTTTGCACAAAGACTTCTCGGTGCCGCTTCGGTACAGCGGTGCTGCTGGGTTTTTGCCAGCCGGTGCTGGATGCTGGGAGGTGATGGCAAAGTAGCGGCTCTGCGGGTTTAACTGTCAGGATTTTTAATTTTTTTGCACGCGGCATTAAATACTAAAACCCCACGGTGAAATGAGCCTTAAACACAATAGAATGAGGTGGTGGCTTGGCTCTATAGTGTTTTATGCATACTTACATCATTGGTTGAAAGAGTCGGTGTCATTCTGGGTTGAGTATTTTGGCTTTAGGTCTGTTAGAAGTCTCCACACTTCTGGGACTTGTACAGAGACTGTGAGGAAGTTGACTGCCTTCAAGTGCCTTTATTGAAATCAAAGAGGGAGGGTGGAATACGGAGGGGAAGGGACCCCAACACAGAGCAGTCTCCACACTTATACCATAGATTCTATGGGGGTTTATTACTAAATATTTTTTCCTGTTTATGCCATCAAACAGATCAGGTATTTCTTTACATCCTTTACATCCTTTGTGGCTGTTGTGCTTTCAAATGTTGAACTGGTTAAACATTAACTTCAAGAACTTTCTAGTACTCCTGCAAATCAATATGCCTAAATTTCAGTGATCCTGCCTAGGAAGACACTGTGACATTTTGATGAGGAATGACACTGCACTGAGTCATCTGCGCTGATGAAACAAAGCCATGTGGGGATTTCATCAGGGACCCACCTGAAGATCTGTTCTAATCTTGGAGATGCAAGCAAAAACCGTGTGAATTTGTCCTGCATTTATCATTTCTTATGATATTCATCAACTCTCAGCACTTAGGCAAAATCAAATAATCTGATGGCGACTGCCTGGGCAGCCTTAGTTCAGGAGGGTAAAGCAGAGCCAGAGCTTAGCTGTGGTTTGTTCCTTGCTGTGTGTTCAGGTGCAAGGTTTCCATGCTGGCACGTGCTCCGGCTTTGCTCTGCTCTGGAACCCTGCCGTGCTCCCGTCTGCTGTGCTCCTGCAAGGCCACGGCTGGGTGCCCTGCTGCCTGAGCCTGCTGTCCCTGTCAGGGTGACGGCCTCACCCCCTGAGCACGCGTGGAGAGGGAGGCAGCCGTGTTGGCCAGCTCCTTCAGGTGGCAGGTGCCCCGAGGGAGCTCTTGCCAGCTGGCGTGGGCTGGCACTGCCAACACCTGGGGAAAGTGGGGCATTGCTGGCTCCCCACTGCCTTCCTGGCTCAGCCCTGGCAGAGCAGCTGCCTCAGTGTGTTATTTCAGGCTCTGGCATGGATTGGAGGCTCATCCTGTTTCTCCAGACAGGTTAATATGACATTTGCCCAATACCATTTGGTTCTCCTGACGTTTATGATGCTCCCTCTTTGTTCATGTTGGCTTTCGCTGTTAACCAAGCTCTTGGGAGCTTTTGAATGGCAGCAAAGACAGTGGGTACAACCTGGTTTTGTCTTCCTGTGCCACTGACAGCACTCAGGGGGTGGCCTGAAGTAGGAAAAGATGTCCAGGAGTTTGTCTGCTCTGTGCTTTAACCCATCACCTGAGTGTCACTCACAGGAGATGTGCTGTGACTGCATCACTCAAAGGACAAAATCAGATGTTTGCCCTGGAGCTGTCAGGTTTTCATAGGGGCTGGAGGAGCAGAAGAGCCTCCCCAAAAAGAGTCCGTGAAGGGGCTCATACCTGTGCTTTCAAGTGAGTGGAGCCTGGGAGCAGCTCCTGCTGTAAGAACAGCATCCCCAACACCTGCGGGATTGAGAGAATGTCTTTTTAAGAATAACACTTGTTTTGGTGGGAGGGGCTTTGTCTCCTGCCCCGCTGTATGTGCGTGCTGCTCCTCCTGCCTGCAGCAGCCTGGAAATCTGCTACAATCATTTGCATATTGGGTTATTAAAGGAGCTCGGAGCTGCCTCAGTCAGCTCTGAACGCCAGGGATGGGGGAGAGGGTTGGCTCTGAGCAGCACCATCTCCCCTCACACACCACCTGGCACTCTGGGGGAGGGATGCAGTGCTATTTTAGGGGAATCCCTTCTGTGCTCTCCTTGTGTGGGTTCCCTTCTCTGATGGCACTTGTATACGCAGGGAAGGGATGGGGGCTGGAGATGCACATCCCTGCATGTGTGTTTGGGGGAGAGCACAGAAATATCAGGAGTTATTAGTGTATGATGCTCAGCTATTACACTCTGAGTCAGTGCTCCAGGGGATGTCTGCTTCCTCTGCCAGCACAGAGAATAAAAAGGTTGTGCTGCTTTAAATAGTGTCAGGCTACGTGCTCCCATCTTCCTTGGGACAGTGCTCATTCTCCTGATGTTGAGAGGTGAAACTAACCTCCTTTATCTCCATGATGTGCTCATCTATTGTGCTTTATCTTCATGTGTGTTCATCTATTTCAGGAGGTCTCTCACTGACCCAGCAGAGAGAGTTCACAGTTGTATTTAGGACCCGTGTAAGGACTTCAGAGCTGCACCTTAAGTGTGTGTGTGTGTGTGCTGTGATTCTGCACCGTGTGGGAGGCTGCACAGCCAGGATTCAACAGGCCCTGCTTCCACACACTGCTGTGGGGCTGGCAGAGGTGCTTAACCTCACTCCTGGAAATCTCCAGGTGCATGGGAATTGACACAGTTTATTAATAACACACAGCAGCCAAGCTCATTAACCAGCTGGAGACATTGCAGCAGTGATGGCAAAATCAGGCAGCACGGAGGTTTTATTGGCAGTAGCTTCTTTCCAAAAGCAAATTCCTTGGCCCAGGTACAGTAGAACTGGTGTGAGGAGGTGTGAGTTATCCCACATGTCCTCAGGGCAGAAAGAGTGAGGGATGGGTTGTACTGCTTCCTTCCAGAGTAGTTTTCCACTGAGATTTGAGGGGGTTTTGCTTATTCCTTGGAATGATAATGGACCACTCAGTGAATAGAAATTTTCCTGTCTCTTCTGGCTCTCTCCATCCTTGCAGGAGCTGCCTCCAAGTGAGAAACTTTTATCCAGCAGGACTGGAACAGTAGCTGCTTTAAAGTCTGAAAGAATGGTCTGCTGTTGGCAAGGGGTGCACCTAGAGCTTCTCCAAGAAGCCAAAAGATTCTTGGGGTGCAAACAGGCCTTGCTTGTTGGGTTTGACTTATTTTTTTTAACCCTCAAACAGGTGCAACTACGTAAGGACTTGGCTTGAAATAAAGTTCCATTTTGGAATTTAAACATGGCTTTCTTTGGTGTTGCATTTTTTGTGGGTGGGATTATCCTTGGTGTATATTGTTTTAGTGCTCCAAGTGTTACCATGCCTCTTCTCTCCTGCTATGCCTCAATTTTACGTGGCTTTTGCATCCAAATAAGGAAAGATTTAATGTGGAATGTGCCTGGTTTAGCTGACTGCCAACCCAAAACCAAGCTGCCTCATCAGACCAGTTTGACTGAGGGGTCCTGTCAGTGATGCTTGTGTTAATGAGTCTTTAATAATTGGTTTTTCTTCCAGGTGCCAGCACAGTTCCAGTGGAAAAAGACCATACTGAAGAAATGGTGAGTAGCTGCTTGTCAATCCAACCTCAGAAAATACAGTGATGTGTTCTTCATTTCTATAAACTCTCAGGACAATGCTTCATTTTTTTTCCTAAGAATAAATTTTTTAAAAGCTGATGGCTGGTGTGGAACTTGGAGTGCCTTTAGCTGCCAGGAGATGCCTGCCTGCACCTCAGTGTGTTTGGTGGAAATGGGAGCTGGCTCTTGTGTCAGTACTCGTGAAGCTCTGCATTGTACAGCTGCTTGAAAAGTGATCTGAAATATTGCACAGTACATGTTACTGTGCTGACAGCTTAGGGGAAAGATGAAATATCTACAATTACCAGCTGTGTAACAGACTCACTGGTGTAGTCCTTCCTGTCCTTTGGAAAGGGATCTTACCCTGTGTGATTAAATAAATGCCATCAGCTGCTCCCAGAGCTAACACCAGACCCCCTGCACTGGTTGTTGCTGTGATCATTTAGATCAGCAAATACCTGGTAATAACCAGAACTAGTAAAAAGACAAATGCTTCTGTAAATGTTTCATTGTCTGCTCCCAGTCATCCCCACAGATTGTCAGCCTGAGGCTCTTGTACCCCCAGCAAACAGGAGCACTTGTTCTCACCATCAGCTTCAGCACCTGAAAATCATTTTATGCAGAGGAGATACTTTGGTAGTGCTTCGAATTAGAGCACATTGTGTGACTTTCCTAAATCAATCCATTTTCTCTGTTTCCAGACAACCCAGTTGAATGTTCAGTGCTAAAAACCAGGCAGGACTCAGAGCACAGACACATGAAAAGGTGTGGAGTGTGTCCCTTACCGAGGACATGGAGCTGTTTTAGTGTATTGCCAGTCCAAACTGCCTTTGCAGTATCCTCATTTGGACAGATCCTGCAGGATAATCCTCATCCTTTGAGTGTGTGTTGTGTCTGTTTATTTTATAGGGTGTGTTACCACACGTTGTTTGACTTTCCTTTGTACTGAGGAGGGTATTTAATATTTTAAAAGGTACAAAAGATGCCCCTTAGCTCTGCAAACAAAAGGGGAGATAAAAAGACCTGTCTGTTCTCTTCCTGCTGGTACAGGAGTGAGGGGCAGAGCCCAAATGTACAGGATTACTCAAAACTCATTAATAATAGCCTGAACTCCAATCTCCAACAGGCTTTTCTACCAGCTGGATCAGAAGTAAAGTTTCCATTTTTGCCATGTGGATTTTCTCTCCTGTTTTGTCCCTTCCAGGTAACCCAGTGCATTGTGGAGGTTCTGTCCAACGCTCTCTCTAAGCCAAATGCACCCCCCATTAATCCTGAATGCAAAGAAATCCTGAAGAAGGGTAAGTACAACATTTTCTGAACTTAGGAAAGGAATTTGGTGCATGGTTTCTCTCTGGTGCTAGAGCTGGTGAACAGTTACTTCAGCCTGTGTGAAACTGGTGCCTCCAAATTTCAGTGCCAGAATTCTGGTTTCCTTCTGTTCAGTGTGTCTCGCTCAGGGAACAAACAGCCTGACCTGGGAATTCTCAGGGATTGTTGCCTGACACTTGTGGCTCCCTCCTTGAACCACCTGGAGAGTCTGAGAGGACTTGAAAAACTCTTTAGGTAGCCTGAGAAGATGAAGCATAACTATTGCAAAGCATCAGATTTCTTTGATTGGTTTTTTTCAGTCAATTTTTAAAAAACTTTTAAAATTTGCTAAAAAGAATCCCTGGTGGGTTTGGGTAGTTTGGAATAAATGGTTGTCTTTTTAATGTAGATAAGCATCTGTGATGGGCCTGATCTGGCATTCAAAGAACTGAACACAACTCCAGATCCTATTGATTTTTAATGGGAACGAGAGCTAGCTTGACTCAGTACTAAAAATGTGATCACAGAAAAGCCAAAGAAGGAAATTTATTCTGGAAATTCCAGGGGAACTTGTAAAATGCCTAATTAAGTGGAGTTAATTAGTTAATCCTTTTCCACTAACTAATGATTTTAGTAGGCAAACTAATGATTTTGAAAGCAGAATTAAGAAATCAGTTCTGTCCAAATTTCCTTGGTACTTTGGGAAGCCAGTCATCTTTTTGAAATAACACTTCAGTGGAGGGTTGGATTACTCCATGATGCTGCTTTTGTTATTGTAGGTGATAAAAATGACAGAGAGAGAAGTGAAAACGAACAGCCTGAAGTGAGGCATCCCAAAGACCCAGCAGAAACTGGAAAACATCCTACTGGGAGCGTGGAGAAAGAACAAAGGCAGGCAGAAGAGGAATCTAAAAAGTACATGGAAGGAGGTGATGAGGAGAAACTTGCTCATGAGGAAGGTGAAAGCAAGGAGGAGGAGGCTGGACACCACACTCCTGCTCAGGATGAGACACTTCACACGGAAGAAAAAAAGCACTACCAGGAAACTGGGAGAGAGGAGGAGAGGAGTTACCACAGTGAAGAGGAAAGCAAAGAGGGCAAGTGTTGTGAGAATGTAGAGGCTGCTGTTCTCACCAAGAAGTCCCACTCTGAGAGCATGAGCATGGATGAGTTCCGTGGTGGGAATGATCAGAGCCCCAGGGGCCGCTGGCACCTGGAGGAGGGAATGCAGAGCCCTTCCAAACAAATTCGGGAAGATGAAGAGGGAGAGGAAGAAAGGAGTGAGAAATACCACCGTGAGTCTCAGGAACGTGGTTTTTCCCACCAGCAGGAGCGTGAAGAATCTGAGGAGAGTGAAGAAAGAGAGGAGGGAAAGGAGCCCTTCAAAGGCAAAGGTTACCATGGGAAGCACAGGCAGGGTGACTCCTATGAAGAGAAGAGGGGCCATGGTGGTGAGAGGGGGGAGCCAGCAGGGGGATCACACCCAGGGGAGGCCAATCTCTGGGAGCAGTGGAAGCACCGACAGAAACATCAGGAAGAGTCTGAGGAGAAGGGTGGCTCTCCTGGGAGGCGTGGACCCGAGGAGCTGCAGGAGGAGAGGCCTGCAGAGCAGGGCAGCGAGGAGCACAGGGACAGCTGGCAGCAGAGCCAGGAGAGCAGGGAAGAGGAAAACAAGAGGCACCACCACAGCGAGGAGAGCACTGAGAAGTGGCGCGAGGAGAGGAGGCAGCACGATGGATCCCACCGTCCTGGGGGGAGGATGTACCTTGCTGATGGAAACGAGGAGGAGCTGGCCAGGTACGTCAGCGAGGAGAAGCAGCGCCGTGTGGGAGGGAGAGCCCGCTTAGGGAACAGGCAGCAGGAGGGCTCCCAGAAGGCTCGAGAGCACAAGGGGCAGGCCAGCAGGCACTACAGCACTGAGGACAGCCTGGAGGAGGAGGAGGAGGTGGAAAAGAAACATCACAGCAGTGACCAGGTGGAAAATGAAGAGGAGGAAAGGTTTGCAGAGAGAGGAGAGTACAGAGGCCATCTCCCCGCCGAGAAAGAGAAGAGAACTGCAGCATCCTACAGGCCTTTCTACCCACTGCTGTGGTGGAAAAGCCGGCACTTGGACAAAAGGGATGGTGCAGGGGAGCAGCTTCTGGAGGGCAGGGAGGAAGGCAGGCCTGCCCTGAGTGAGAAGAGCCTTTTCCCTGAATACAATGACTATGAGTGGTGGTCAGAAAAGCAGATCCAGAATGCTCTGAAGCACAGGCGCAGCGAGAAGAGGAATGCTGGCAAAACGAACAGATACGATGTGGAAAGGCAGTACAAGAAGATGGATCAACTTGCACAACTTCTGAACTACAGGAAGAAGTCAGCTGAACTGCCAGGGCTGTACAGCTCTGGAGAAGACCTGAAGAAGCGTCACGTGGCTGGGAATGACAGAAGGAGCCTAAGCCAGAGGCCCCTGACAGAAGAGGAGGTAAGTGCACAGCAGTTTGTCTGAAAAGCTGGGGGAAACACACTTCCCAATCCATTCCCAAGGCAGCTGGGAAAGTGCATGGAAAAACACAAACAAGATTAAGTCACAGTTAAGGTGTGAGTAGATCTTCAGTGATTTAAAAATCTGCTTTCTTTGAACAGTGGAACTTTGAGTTTGCTGAACTACCCCAGGGCACAATTTGTGGCATAAAGACACAGCTCCTGTCTGCTGCAAGGCAGGAAGGGAAAGATTTTATTCCTCTTGGGTCCTGCCTCTCCCTCGAGGCTCTACAGACCGACAAAAGAACGGTGCCATTGCAGCAGGGGCAGAGAGGAAACTGACAAGCACCACTTGGGCTGTCGGGTTGTTTCAAATACCGAGCTGGAAAGTGAGTTGGGTGTTCAGAGGGAAATCAGCTGCCCGTGGGCTTCCCGGGCGGAATTGCAGAGCAGAACCTGCATTGCACCTGTAAGTCCAGTTCCTGGGTGTAGTTCACACATAGTGAATCCTCTTCTTTTCGTTGAACTTCCTGTTCTGCTCCAGTATCCAGGAAAACTGAGCCTACAGCCATCAGTTAGCTCCCATCAGCCAGGTCCTCCTGGTGTGTGCCAGTGTCTGTGCAGCGCACAGAGCTGTGCTGGGAGCAGGGGAGGCTGGACACTGATTTATACAGGTGTTACTTGGTGTTTACAAGCCGTCCTGGTAAGGGCTTGGCTGCGTAAAGCTTCTCCTGCCCTCTGTGCCTGTGGAGCTGTGCCCTCGCTGCACCCTGTTGTGGGACTCCTCAGGGACAGCACCTGCAGCTGTGACATGGCAGGAGGCCTCCTAATGGAGGGCAGTGGTGCTTTAAATCTACAAAGACGAGGCTGTAATTATGGCCAGCTCTCACAATTAAAATTTTGATGCTTTCCTCAGCCTGTGTTGGGTCCCAAGCAGGGAATTTCACCAGTCTCCCAAGACTTTGCTGCGCTGCTGTTAACGCCCGCTCTGCTCAGGGACTGGGAAGTGGCACGACAGAATCTGCCTCAGAAACGGCCTTTCCTTTCCTTTCCATGGAACAAAACACTTCCCAGCATTAACAATGATGTGTGAAATGCTCTCTGTTTTCACAGGAAAAGCAGCTGGAAAACTTGGCCACCATGGATCTGGAGCTGCAGAACATAGCAGAGAAGATCAACAGCCTCAGGAGAGGCTGAAGGTGTCCCGTGTTCTGTGGTAAAGTCACTGCCACTGGATTGTTGTTTGCCCTAAACCCAGGAAATTCTATTCACTGTCCACTCTTGTGTAGTGATTTACACAGCTGAAAGTGTCTTTAATTTGCTGTTATGCTCCTGAGACCTTAATTGGCATGAATTTTAGTAACATAACCTTTCATGTGGGCAGGTATTTTTAATATGCTTTTGGAGATAATTGTGTTAGTGTTCTTCAGGAATATATTTGTCTGAGTTTGCAATAATAAAAACCATTGATCTTGGACCAAACCTTCTCCTTGTTCATGTGGCTGATGGGGTGATCTGAGTGAGCTGGATCAGGTGTCGATTGTGCACAGAACAGTGGTGCTCCACCACTCTGAAAAGTTACAAGGAGCCCATCTGTGCATTTTGTTTGCCACTTGAGCACGAGAGGGAAGAAGGAATCTGAAGTCTCAATAGTGATTTATTTCTTGCTTCCTTCCTCATTTTCACTGCATTTTACAAGGATTGTGGCACAATTGAAAACTGGGATTCAGTGTTGAGATTGTGGCAATGTCACTGCTGGTGAAATGCAGCCAGTTTGGCTTTGATCCAAATTCACTCCTCATGTGTTCCAACATTGTTTATTTCTTAAACCGATCTATTATGCAAATATGTTTTTCTCATGTTATTGTTTTTTATTGTCACAGTATCTAAGCTAAGCAGCCATCTAGAATGAAGAGATGGTGAAATCTCCATCCTCTCCTTTTATGGGTTGTTCACATAGGGAGGAGAAGAAAAGAGAACTTCCCAAAAAGTAGGAAAACAACACTGGGAAGTTTATAAAAAGCAAATGTGGATAAAACTTGAAGATGTAGTGTACCTGTTCTCCCAAGAGGAAACTTAACACTGCTTCTTTCCATGAAATACAATCCCTGCTTTCAGCTAAGGCTGCCCCAAAAGAGCATTACTCTCCTCAAAATACTGAATTTTACAGCTCTATCAAGTCTCAGCACTTGATCCCAAAGCTCCAGGTTCTGTCCAGTCAGTCCAGACCCTGATGAGGGAGTTCCAGAATGGAGGCCAAGCCCTCCAGGCCCTACGAGCTCCCACTGAGGTGTAATGGGGTGCAGCCACAGAGTATTGTCCTCCTAAAGCCTCTGCTGGACCTTTTTATTTCTAAAAAGAGGGAAAAGTAAGAAAAAAGATAAATCTCTTTAGGGAACACACCCTGTAGTTTAATTGAAATGGCAAATGCAAAGTTAAAAAAAAATAAAAAAAGCCTGACACCTGAAAGATCTAACAGTAGAATAAATAAATATACATACAGCAGTTTTCAAAATAGTCATATCTTAAAAACATACAGCAACTCTCAGAAAATGTCTTGGAAAATGACAGACAATATTAATAGTGACATTGTTTAAATATTTAGTATTTTAATTTAAGAACATGCACTTTCTCATCTGTATTTATTTCAGAAAAATGTGGAGTCATGCTGTAAGCATGAGGTCATCTCTACTATTAGATTTCTCTTTTTATTGTTCCTTTGGAAAACAGAGTAGGATTTTTCCTGTTCATTCTACTTTTTTAAATCACTGAACAGAGCTGAGTTCTGTGTCCCAAGTGGGAGCAGACCACCACGTGGAATCCTGGGGAGAATCCTCTGGTGCCTTTCTGGGAGAATGGAAAGTTAAGCTGGATGTGTTGATTCCAACTCAAGCTTTTTAAAAACTACCTCATACTCAGATTTGGCAGCAAACAAACAGAATGCCTGCACTGAGGCTTTGTCTTCTCTCCCTCTTGAAGTTCCTGTGAGTTCAGTGGGATGTTTGTTCCCAAGGGTTTTCCTTGACATTCAGATGGTGTGAACTGCTGAGGAGCAGGCGAGTCCTCCCTCTCCTGCAGTTCTGCTGCTTTCTCTGACAGATGCACGACAGGCACAGCCCTGTGCTGCCAACAGCACAGACAGGACTTGTTACTTCACTAAACTCCTGAGATCCAAACCATGAGTCACTCTCCAAATGTTAACAAGGAAGGTCTTGAAGTTTGCATCTTTTAGATGACGGCTCTTCCATCTTTAGTGCTTCTGAGTTACTGGAATCAGATTTGCCCTTCTCCAAGACGACAGTGATGCCAGACAGGAGGTACCCTCCACCTCCACTCATGGTCAGCTTGGGATGGCTGCGATCTGGTAAAACCTTTAAAACAAATAAACACACCCCAAACTCACCCCACAACCAGCACCTGTAAAAATCCACTCTGTGGGTGCGTATCACATTGAGTAATTTCAGCTTACAGGACAGGATCTAAATTTTTTTCCCAGCCACAACAACAAATGGCCATTTGGGAAGTGTATTTATCTTTAAAGTAGCTGCAGAGGTGAATCCAGTTGTAGAAATCCATAATAATAAACTGCTGCCTCACTGGTTACTTCTTCATGGCATTGCCAGCAAAAAAGATATACATATAATAAATATCTATATAAATAAATATAAGTATCTATTATAAAGCCAAGGTTTGAGGCCCATGAAAGTGCCATGATGTGCTCAGCAGTGAGGTAGTCTGCAAGAAGCTACAGCTGCTGCACAAGCCAGCCCGAAGGGATTCTGTGATTTCCAGTTCTGTCCCTGTCACCCTTCTGCAGCCCCATCACACCTTTGTGTAAGGACTGTCCCTCCAGCTGTGCCTCCTCCTTGCCTGACTGTCACTGCAGGTCTCAGAGGTTTTACCTGTGGCCAGGACACTGCAGTGCTGTTCTCACTGCACCTGCACACAGGACCCCTGGTCAGGCCCACCTTGTGTGGACATCTAGGAATTATTAACCCTGTCACTCTCCTGCAAATATTTCAGCAAACGTTTAATAAAATGCAAGAAAGTAAAGTGTTTCCATTGGAAATGGTGACAGGGAAGCATTAAAGCTCTTCAGAACACCCAGTACTCTAGGGCAGAGCAAATGCCTGAGCTGAGACATTGTTTCAGTCAGTCCAACCTCCCCCCTGTTTTCAGGGAACGTTCCTCTCCCCAGAATTCCCACGGTTTTGGCAGCCCCTGCTGCCATCCTTACCTGGTAGTTCCGTAGCCATGTTTCTGACAGTTTCAGGTTGATGACTCCACCTCTTTCTCTCAGCTTGGTGTAACATTCCAATAATGGCTTGGAAAAACCAAAGAGGAGGTTACACAGCAGAATGGCACCAAGCTTGAACTGTAACAGCTGAAGTAACATCCCAATTTACCTCTTTATATTGGCAGTAGACAACAAAAGGCCTCGAAGGAGCAACAAATTCCAATAAAGAAAGTAACAAGGGTGTGGGATGAAACTTGCTGGCTACAATTAAGCTGCAAAAAAAGTTTCAGGCACATTAGTTTTCTGCTTCTGAAACCTACTCACCTAGTGACATTTCCTCCTGCTTAGCACAGCAATCAATTCCAGCTTTGAAGTGTCTCATCAGCATGTTTTCATTGCTCTGACAACTCCCCAAATGTAAAAACAAATCATTACTTCCTACTGCTGTAATTAAAAGGCTGAAGCATTGCTCCCCAAAGTGCAGAATATTAAATGCATTGCAGGAGCACTCACTTCAGCTGTGTCGGGCTCCACAATAATTCTTACAGTCTAAGAAATTTCATGTTGCTTGCTCTGCCCCAAGACCATTCTCCAAATACAATTTTTGTGACTGCCAAATGTTGCTTAGAATGTAACCTCAGTTGTGACTCTTTAGACTGAGTAGTCTTCATTTAATAGTTTTATATAAAAAGAATATGTAAAGAGAGAACAAATCCTTAAAAGGCATAACTAAAAACCTTTTAAAAAGAAACTGCCCTTGACAAACTAAAGCCTTCATATTTTACTCTCTGTCTTCATTTTAACATTACACAATAACTTGGATCTACAGATGGTTGAGATTCTCTACCACTATTTCCAGTTTTAATCCAAAAAGTCACTGCTGAACTACACTGCAAGAAATGGTTGATAATTAGTTAATTAGCTATCAAGTTGTGCTTGTGCAGAACGAAGGAGTTAATTAAACTCCTTCACAGTGTACAGAGACTACTGAGAAGCCCCATCAATAAACATCTGTTCTCCAGGGGAACGTGCAGCTCTGGAGCAGAGTTAAACTTGCCTGGCAAAAATTGATGTTCAATTTTGTAAACACAACAGAGATAAGGAGGTGAGATAATTCTTTTTCAATTGTTCCCACTTGGGCTGTTTGCCAGCCATGGCCTTGCAGACCATTTACTCCTAATGCAAACCTCAAAGGAATTGTGCTCCATCATGAACCAAGCAGGTCATAAAGGAAAGACTCACCCTGTGCCTTGGAATGCTGCACTGGCACTGCCAGGGGCTCTGCCACACTCCAGGAAGGGAAGTGAGGGCTGAGAGACTGGGCAAAATCAAATGCTGCTCTTTCATATGGCAGCACAGATTGGTGCCAGCAGGGAGCCTGGCCAGGCACAAAATGGATGCAGTGGGTGAGGGGGGAGCAGGAAGGGGCAGAGTGAGGGAGATGGTCTAATTCCAAACATTTGGCATGCCTGTGAACAAATTTCTGCTTCCATAGAGTCAGGAAAATGGAACAGTCGATCTCTAAACTCTTCTTTAAAAGAATAGCAAATACCTAATGACCATCTTCCTTTTTCCCCTCAGTGGCCTAACACCAGAGCTCAACTCTCATCAAAGGAATCGAACCAACAGATCCAGGACAAACAATGTTTTACCACACAACAGCACAGGAGGTAGAAATTTAACTGGAATGGTGTCTTCTACATTCAGTAATAAATGCTGTTAAATTCAGGTACCTGAAGCTGGTACCCACCTTCACCTAATGAACAGCTTTTCTCTACTCTGCCTGAAAGCCACAGTCTTTCTCCCCACCTCCAATGTTAAGCACCTTTTTCCCTATCCTTTCCCTGTTTCTCTCCTGCAAAAAATCCCTGAACCCTTCTTTTCCCTGTCTGTTTCTAGTCTTTAATTTGAAGCATTTCCTTATTCCATGCCACGTTTTCTGTGGTTCCTGATCTCAAGGAGCAGTGCCTATAAAAGGCAGATGACTGAAGAAGGGGGATCAGCCCTCTGGGACAGTGCTCCCAGGCACCATAAATTCTGTTCACCCCCATCCTGCTGGAGCCTTCCTAAAGCCAGGAATCACTCATCCCTTCAGGAATGTCATTTGTTACAGCTTTCATGCATTACAGAGGACAAGAGGAGGATAAAAGTGATTGAAAACAAATAAACCAGAGACAAATACTAAATGGGCCTCCTTGAACTCAATCAACAACCGAATGTGCTGTTTTACACGGAAGGAAATGAC